TACAAACTTTTGAGGTTTTGATGTTAATCTGTGCGACCTATCTCTTGTATTTTGAGCTTGTTATGTAATTTAAAACTTATATCAATATATATTTATAAGTCATTTGAGTTTTCTACTACATACTTTTTTCTTGTTAAGCATTTGCAATGTGTTTTAAAGTAGTTATCAGTTAGTAACTTGTTAAGTATGCCTTCTCATATATATAAAAAATTAATTTCAAACCGTTATTTACAAGATTTTGCAGTTGGTGATAAATGGCTAATTCCTTGATAAATATATGTTACAATTGCAAAAACATAAATCAGAATCATGTATTAGTTTGTCAAAGCATTCCATGGATCTCTTTATGCATAGGCCTCAAAGCAGTAACTCCAACGTTAGGATGTGCCCAGAGACAAGTAAAGGAATGATCCCCACCATAGTGCAAAATTGGAACATTCAATTTGATGCCAATTGGCAAAACCATTGGTAGGGTTCATATATCACATGAGTGTCTTCAACAAATTAACTTTTTTCTTTTTGTACCACCATTTTTTTCTAACTATACCACATTTTATTTTCCAAAAACAAAATTTCAAAATGTATCAAGTCACTTTTGAAAATTAAATTCTGAAAGCCACTTCTGGAATTTAATTTTCAAAAGGGTGACACCAAAAGCAACCACCCAAAATATTGTGACATTGATAGGGATGAAGCGTATTGGACTTTTGGTACATAATGCTTTGGCAACAAAATTGGTCATGTCAAATGTTGCTATTTGCTCAAGGCCCTATGACATAAGAACACATAAGATTGTAAAACCTGAGTACATCTAATCAAGTACAAATAAGAAGATGCTTCTTGTGGAGTCAGCTAGTTACCTATTCTAGAAAATATGGTGCTTGGTGATCTGGAAAGAATAGCAGGGGTTTATTCAATCTGTGCATATTGATTGCCATTAGTGATGATATTGTGCTATTTATCACAATGACAGCCATTATTGAGTTATTTCATGATGGGAGGAGCCCAGGGCCTGGTTGTTGGATGTAGTTATGAGAACTCTTGAAATAGCACTAGGCCTCTAGATAATACCAATTTGTTGAAGTGGCTTCACTTTATTTACACTGAAAAGCAAAAACTTTATGAAAAGCCTACATTAAGTCTACCTCAAGCCATTCTCTATATATATATAGGGCTATGTTTAGAAATTTTGTAATCTTAAACAAAGTTATTGGATGGACCTTGATGTAATATAAATTAATAAATAATTTTTATAATATTGTTAAAAAAAATTGAGCTAAAAAAGTGTAAAGAGAAAGTGTTAAAGTTCTGCGGAATAAATAATTAATATATAATAGTGACGTTGTCATTAATAATATGTAAACAATAAACTATCTCCAAACTAAAATATAAGTCACGTACCAATGTATAACTTATCCAAATTTATACCCAAATTAACTCTCTATGTAAGTTTATTACTATCCTAAATTCAAAATTCACGATGGCCACCTTCATTTGTTTACTGAAATATATAAGAGGATCTTAAAGCTAATTAGACTTGAAAGTTGTGTATATTTAAAATTCTACAGTTAGAGTTTTGAAAAAAAAAAAGGTCTCTTGTAATAATTAATCACAACTCATTTTTAAATTATACATATATATCAATAATAAAATAAATTTATAAGAAGGTAAATTCCAGAGAAAAAGAATAGGGGTCTAAGCCAATTTTCTTACTTGTCATGACATATACACAACTCTATATATGTTTATATTTATATCTACATCTGTCTATAAATATATATACAGATAGATAGACAAATATTAAGATATTTGCATAGTTGCATCATAAATTTCAACATTTTTTATAATATTTTTGTAACAAAGATAAAAGGAAAAGTGAGAGAAATAGTATATAAGATTATGAAAAATTATTATAATGATATTATTCTTTCGAGAAATGTGTAGATAGAAATGGGTTGATTTGGTCATCCCCTACTCCATGCAAGGAACGTAATGTTAATTCTATTTTGAGATTGACTTGCAACGTAAGTTGCCATCTCAACACACTAATCGTCACATTAGAATTGAAATTAACACGTACTTAATAGCCAATAATCATGATGGGGTATGATAAAACATATATTTGTTTAATTATAAAGATCTAATTAAAAATTTTAAAACATAAGAATTATTTTGGATTTCTTTTATGGGGCGTTCTTAGTGCATGAATCTACCATAGGTACAAATGGCAACTATACCAATAAATTGACATAAACCCATGAAAATTAAGGTAGGAACATTTATTTTCCATTTGTGGTGTCATTTCTAGTTCTCACATTGTCCTGAGGGTTAGAGTATCTTTAAAAATATTCACTTTATCTTAGTCAGTGACTACAACATAAAATAACCTTAAAAAATGCAGTATCCTAAATTAATGAGATTATTTCTAAGTTTAAAGAATATTGAGACACTTTGGAAAACATATGTGCGTGTGGTATTCATTAGGTTCATAATCAATAAATAATTTTATGGTGTGCTTGTATAGGGGGGGGGGGGGAGAGAGAGAGAGAGAGAGAGAGAGAGAGAGAGAGAGAGAGAGAAGGGAATGAGAAAAGGGCAAAGGGCATTTTGAATCCACATATCTCACTATTTAGTTAACTTAATTTGTTAAAAGAGGTTTATTTGTTAGAGATAAAAATATACTGAGTTCGACTAGACTTGGTAATTAAGAATTTAATTCGGCTTGATTTTTTAATTTAAAGTCTAAGTTTGATCTAATACCTAATATATGTCAATTTTAGGTTTATCAATCATTTTTATAAGTTTAATTTAACCTGTGAACCTAGTTAAGAAAACCTATTCCATAATAAAGCCTTTTAAATGGATCAAAAATAAAAAATAAAAACCATCATTAACAGAATTCAATACCTAGATAGATTATTAAAACAAAATCAAATACAGAAAATAATAGTATAAGAAATCATTTTTTATCCCAATGGTAGAGGAAACACTAATGAGGTTTACCACAAAAATAATCTTTTACTACATTTTTTTCTTTCTAGTAGTTTAGGAAATTAGCATTCATTCTAATTGACTTAAAAAAAAATATAACCATTCTTCTTGTATTCATTATTCTCTCATATTAATTTCTTGATTTTTCTCTCTATATGCTTCTATATTCGTCCCTCTTCTAGTCTTCCCATAATAAAGCCAAAAAATTGCTTTTAACAAACACACTACCAAACATCGTTTAAGCTTTTCAGTTAGTACAAAGAGCTTTGTGGAACCTTGCAAATGATGGAAAACTCCCTTGTTTACAATATGTGCGCCTGCAAGATTCAGTAGTTGTTGGTACGTAGATTTCAAGCAAATTAAGTGAATATCTCATAAGCAATCATCATCATCATCATCATCATCATATATATATATATATATATATATATAAAACTGAGTAATTAGTTTCTAAATTTAACACTATTTTTAGTTTTAATTCCTATAAAATTTTATTAAAAATGTGTAATTTTAGTCCCTTGTTGAATACTCGTGTTTTTTTTTTAATATTTTGCATGATCTAAAATTAAATAATTTTTTAATAAAAACTAAAAAAAATATATAATAATTCTAAAGACTAATTACATAATTAAGCATATAAAAAAAATACATGGAACAAGAACATGACTAGAATTGGTATTAATTACAATTTACATTGTAGAGGAAAATTACTGTATAGTATACACAGTCAAAATCCTTGAACTTTGCCCTTCTACCTGAGCATTGACATCATGATCATAATGGCAAGAAAACTTTCACTTACAATTACAATTGCAGAGGAGATATTGAAGTTGGTTTGGGAGCAGTTAGTAGCTATATATTGTTATTAAATGTCATCCATTATAATGGTCCTGCAAATGCATGTGCATCTGAGTAGGATATATGCAACCTTTCAGTCAATGCCAGAATCATCTTCCATAAGAGAGATGGGAGTAAATCTTAATCATATTATATAATAGAGGGTCTTGATTCAAAATTCAAAATTATTAAAAGATTACACAATGAAGTAAAAGAGTCACAACTTTCATAATTTAATTTTCATCATATACAATTTAATAATTAAGATTGACTTTTCTTATTTCAAATGATTTTACATAAATAGCCAAAGAGTGTCTATTGCTACTCCCATAGAATGATAATAAACAATCAGAAGTAATAATAGAGACACCTAAATAGTCAAAATTAAATTTCTATTCCACCAATGTGAACATGAAAATAAAATTAAATAGTTGATATTAGTTTAGATACCTTTGTAAGGCTATCACTAATTAATACTCTCTTTAGACACACACATGAAAGTATGAATTTCTAATGGTAGAAAATTGGAGAGTCTCTCTCAGACAGCACATGGACATGTGGTGTTGAACGTGGGACCATGTGAGTACTGTTGTGAAAGGCTGGCTTGGATGTGTCTGTTTGTGGGGATGTGTGTGTAGAGAAAGAATGAGTCACAGAATATTGCTCTCTATCAATAAATTCTAAACACATGTATCCAAAAAAGCCAATCATTGTTTCAGCTACAAACTTTGAGGTCACTCTCTCTTCATATACAGTGAAGCCTTCACTGTTCCAGTTGGCAATGAGACCAAGGAACCTTAAACACAAGCAGCTATGAAAAATGTCATTAGTTTCTTATTGTTTATTTCATTCAATTACTGTTAAAATAAAATGTTGAAGTCTGACTATTTGATTTCAATTTTCAAGAAATGTTTTATGTTTTGGTTTTTACCTTTAATTACAAAATCATCACATTATTTTTATTTTATTTTTCTAAATATTTGTATAGTAAATTTATTTTTATTGTTTGTTCTATAAATCTTTGAAAACAAAAAAAAAGGAAAAAAAAAGTGATGTTTTATAATTAAAAGTAAAAACTGAAAATAAAAATAAAAAATATTTTCTAAAGCTAAACAGTCTTAGGAAAATGCTTTAAGAAAATATACTTATTTATATATTCAACATGGATTCTTGAAATTTGCATCATCTATATGAATTACATTAGAAGGGGAAAAAATTATCACACTAGAGTACTAGAACATCACTAACTAATAATTTAGGCCACATCTATTTGACATTGCATTAGACTATGTACAATGGAATGAAGCATAGCTTCTCCATGAGATGCACACTTTCTCAACTAATAGAATTTTCTGAGAAATTATAGGAACATGAAGAAGATCCATGTGAAACCACATTCTTAGGAGGTGGTGGAGAACTATGTGCTATTAAACCTCCCTTCAATAGATCAGTATCTGACCTTGATGTCTCAAGAGGTCTAATTTCCTTGAGCATTGCAACAACATCTTTCATTGTAGGACGGTCATCAGCTCTAGTACTTACACATAAAAATGACACTGCTAGAGTTTGTAACATTTCATGCATGGTGGGGTCATCCCTCCCTCTTAGCTTTGTGTCAAGAATATCTGAAGGGTCTCCTTTGCTAGCTAAGTGGTTCCTAACCCATTGAACCAAGTTTGCACCCCCTGGTAGAGTCGGGTCTAAAGGGTGCCTTCCTGTGAGAATCTCAAGTAGAACCATACCAAAACTGTACACGTCAATTTTCTCAGTGATAGGTTGCATTGATGCATGTTCTGTGCATAAACCAAAAACAACAAAATTTAGTACTATTCATTGGTTAATAAGTACATAAAATGACTCAATTAATTTAACTTTGGTTAAAAAACATACCAGGAGCCATGTATCCATATGAACCAGCAAGGTAATGTCTTTGAATTGGCTTGGAATTAGTACTGTCACAATTCTCAATTGCAACTCTTGCCAAGCCAAAGTCAGCAAGGTATGGTTGATATCCAGGACCTAATAGTACATTCATGGCTTTGACATCTCCATGAATTATAGCAGGCACACAATCATGGTGCAAATATGCAAGTGCATGTGCCACACCTAATATAACATCATATCTTGTCTCCCATTCAGCTTTTCCTTTTCCTGAACCATGAAGCAATGAGCTCAAACTTCCATTGAGGAGGTAATCATAAAACAGAAGCTTCAGGTTCTTGTTGGATCCCCAACCTAGAAGCCTAATGATATTCTTGTGTCTAATTGACCCCAATGTTTGAATTTCTGAACTGAATGCACCAGACTCTTCTGATGACCACATCTTTTTAACTGCTAGTGTTTCACCACTTGGAATGGTCACTTTGTACACAACTCCTGAGCTTCCAGTGCCAATCACATTGGATGATGTCAAATTCAAGATAATGTCATCAATGGAAAAATCAAGTTTCTGATACAAAGTCATGTCCCAATTTTCGTTGTCCATGACCACCTTGTTGGCCTTGTGAGCATGAACCAAGACATAGATTGTGAGTAGCACTAGTACTGCACTGGTGCTCATGAGAATGGACATAATGAACTTCATGGCTGATTTGGCATGACTTTTTGCCATTCTGTCAGAAGGAGTTGCAACACCTCCAGCAATGTAGAGACCTTCATTTTCAGCAAGATCACTAAGAGGGAGTTTATGGAAGAATGGAGTGTTAGGCAACTCACCAGAGAAACCATTGAAGGAAACATTTAAGGAAACAAGATTCTCAAGGTCATAAAGAGCATCTAAATTCCCTGAGAGCTTGTTGTGTGAGAGATCAAGCACTCCTAGCTTGCTAAGGCTAGAGAACTGGGAAGGAATTTGACCAGAAAACTGGTTGCAACTAAGATTGAGAGAGATTTCCAAGGAGGGAATTAGACCAACTTCCTTGGGAATTTCTCCAGTGAAACTATTGCTTCCCAAGTCTAGAAGTTGAAGCTTGGTGCAAGACAAGATCTCTTCTGGGATTCTTCCACTTAACCGGTTCTTTCCCAGGTTGAGTTTGGTTAACTCAACCAATGAACCAAGGGCGTGACTCAGTGAACCTGTTAACCTGTTATCTGAGAAGTCAATCAACTGAAGGCTTTTTGGAAGAGAATCTGGAATAGAACCTGTGAGACTATTGGAATGAAGATCTAGAAACTCAAGATTCTGGCATCCAGATAGTGTTGGAGGAATCTTTCCTACAAGATGATTGTTGCTAATGTCCACAAAATTCAAACTCTTCAAGTTTCCAATTTCAGGTGGAATGTTACCTGCAAGTCTATTATGATTCAACCTCAGCCTGTAGAGACCTGTGCAATTTCCTATATCAGGTGGTATAAAGCCTGATAAATCATTGGAAAGAAGCAGCAATTTGGTGAGGTTTCTCAACCCAAATAGTTGTTTGGGTATTGGACCAATCAAGTTGTTGTAAGAAAGATCAAGTGCCTGAAGTTCCTGGCACTCAGAAAGACTATCTGGGATTTTCCCTGTTAGCTTGTTCTGCCATGCAAAGAACAGAGTTAAGCCTTTCAAGTTGCCAATAAGATCAGGAATCTCACCAGAGAGAGCATTGTTATCTACTTCAAGTTGTGTCAGAGAAATGCAATTTGAAATCTCAGGAGGGATTATACCTGAGAGCTGATTCACGCTCAGTTGAAGCTCTTGAAGATTTGAAAGCTTACCAAAACTACTTGGTATGCTACCTGTGAGAAGGTTTTCTGATAAATCTATGACTTCGATTTCTGAGCAGCTTCCAAGTTCTTCAGGGATTGTACCTACTAGATTGTTTTGCCATAAAAGAAGACTCTTAAGATTGCTGAGTCCTCCAATTTGGCTTGGAATTGAACCTGAGATAGAGTTTTGATACAAGTACAGGTTCTGCAACTCACTGCAATTGCCAATCTCTTCTGGAATGGGACCTGATAATAGAGTAGTGTAAATGGCTATGGTCTTGATTCTTGTCAACATTTTGATTGAAGAAGGAAGGCTCCCTGAAATGCTGGTTTCTGCAAGGCCTAACATAGCCAAGTTGGTGCAGTTTCCAATCTCCCATGGGATCTCACCCTTGAGGTTCTTATTGCCACCAGCTCTAATGACTTCAAGCTTGCTTAAAACGCCAATGCTCTTTGGAATTTCACCACTGAGTTGATTATCGTAGAGTGTCAAGTTCACAAGACTTGATAGATTTCCAATGTTGGATGGAATGCTGCCTTCAAGGAAATTTGTATGTAGAGACAAACTTTGTAGTTTCCTTAGGCTGCAAATTTCTTGTGGGATTTCACCAAAGAGAGAATTCCCACTAAGATCAATAAAGATGAGCTCTTGATAGTCTCCAATCTCTTTTGGAATCCTTCCTGTGATGTTGGTTGATGTGAGGACAAGAATCTTCAAGGACCTTAGAGGTTGAAAATTTGAAGGCAATGAGCCTTGCAAGTTCACTGATCTCAGGTTTATCTCTACCACATCTCCTTGTGAGTTGCAATACACCCCAAACCAGTTGCATGGGCTTGAGGCTGAAGGATTCCATGATGCTAATGCATCCACTGTGCTGTTTAAACTGTTTTTCCATGCTACAAGAGCTTGGCCTTGTTCATCAAGTGAGTAACAACATGGAAAAAAGAGAATAAGAGAGTTTAATGAGAGAAGCAAGGTGAAGTAGAAGATTTTGGGAGAAAGTGATAGATTCCTTAAGCTTCCAGGCATTGCTGAGAGAAGAGGATTGTTGATCTGTTTTGGGATTGTAGAGGGGGAAAACCCATGTTTTGTTTATAGCGGAAGAAGAGTTGAAGATCTGGGTCCAAGAGCCAGCTTCTTTATTCTTTTATTATTGTAATTAGGTTTGTTGTATAATAATGAAAAGATGGTCATAGTCATACTCATATGCATGTTGTTTAGTTTTTCATTCACCTAAACTTTTCTACATATATTGGCTCTTCACATTTAACCTCTCAAGTAAGAAGTTGAAATCTTGTGAATTTTGCAATCTGAATAGGCTCCAACTTGTTACTCCTTGTTAGCTAGCCTAGTGTTTCACAAATAGTAAAGTGTCAGAGATGGAAATGGTGGAGCTGAAAATCATGTAAAGAAGATTTCCAAGTTTTTGCTACCCACGTGGACACTAGTATTATTATCCTGCTTTGTTTTCTGCATTATTTGGTTATTATTTTTCATCCTCTTATATTGAATTGCCATGGTTGGCAGGAAACAAGGTATATATCTAGGTAGCACTAGACTAGGAAAATATGAACATAGGAAAATGGCTTTAGCACTAATGGGACATTTAAGTTGATTACCTCGCTGATAGTGATAGGATGATCATCCAACACAATTTACATTATGATATATTTTGAATGTTGTATAGCTCTTGATTTATTTAGTCATGAAGATCATTTTTCTTCCTTTACTTATCTAGGTCCATTTTTTGTGGTCCACCAATTTTATGTGGTTGAAGTTGATGAGGCATTCATGCAGTTTTTACCTTCTATGGTTCCAAAGTGTAACTAAAAAATGCATATTGGTTGTTCCCACTATCAAAATATAAACCTTTGTATCCATCTTTACTATCAAGTAAAAATTTACTCAAATTTTTAGTACTTTGTGTTAAAATATATTTTTATTAATTATAAAGTGATTACCTGGGATTTGTTTACACATAGATGGAGGAAGTGCTTGAGGAATCTGATGAAGTGAAGTGCACATGGAGATGAAGAATATGTTTAATTAAAAAAAAGGGGGGGATTTAATAATCTTTAAGATCTGATCACATTGTCGGGTAGTCTTTGATATAAAGAATTAATTGAAAACAATAAAAGGTATGCTGGCCTTCAATGGAAGGGACAATGTTGCAGCCTCTTCAATATTAAATTAATAAATTCATAAATCAATATTAGATGACTTGCAGAAAACAAAAGATCAATTATCTTATAACAAAAAAAAGCTTAATTATCTTTTAAATATTTCTATAATTTGTCAGACTCCTTGTAACCTAGTGACCATTATAAATTCACGGGTTAAAACTAGGAAATTTTTTTGAAATTAAAAAGGTTTTACGTTCTTGTTTTATATTAATCTCAGATCACTTTATATAAGTATCTGAACTTAGTGAGACAGGGTTATGATATAGTACAATAATTTGGATTTATTAAGAAATTAATAAATAATTTGTATTAAAAGTTACTACTCTAAGTTACATTGAAAATTACAATAGAAGTAAATTAATATATATATTTTTTTACTTAAAGCACGTATCTATCAAATATTTAGCTACTGAAAAGACTTGTGAAGGCAAAATTTTCACCAGGGAATATGCATGGTGCACTTTTTTCTAATATTCATAGCCAAAACTAATTAAATTTTTCAGACAAGAAAAATGCTAAAAACATATTTTTTAAACACTCTTTATTATTGACTAATTTTTGTTTAAAAAAAAAAAAACTAAAACTTACATAATTTTTATAATTTTTAATAAATGTTAGTTATTAATAAAAAAGTGTGTTGCTAGAATTGCTTTTTTAGAGTAATAAAGACTATTTTTCACAGGAAAAAGCATTGGGTTTGCGATTTATGGTTAGATTCCAAAAGCACTTGGAAGAATGTAAAAGCTATTTTCCGCTTTTTTAATGAAACATAAGACTAACTCTAACAATAATTTTTATAGATTTTAATATAAATGTTCCTTGCAAAAGAAAAAGGAAGATAAGCAAATATGGCACTCTACACCAGTTTAAAATAGTTTATAGATAATTTATAAAAATAATTTATAACTTTTTAAAAGAATTCAGTTTATTTTAATATGATTTTTAATATAGCTTATCAGAATAAATTATTTTAATAAACTTTATTAGTAAATTTATGTTGTGAATAATTATTCAAACAAAAATTATTAAATAAATACTTAAATTAATTTAATTGTATATCCAAACACGTCATAAACTAAATGACCATGAATTGAGCAGAGTACAGATACCATGTAAGAAATAAGATAATTTGCTTTGTTTGGCTTTTTAAGAAAAGTGAAAGAGAAAGAAAACAAATGTAGATTTCATGTCAAATTGTTATACCCTTATAAAATTTCTAAGGATATTCGTTTATGTCACATTAACTTATATTAAATTATCCTCTTTATATCTTTATATGTTAAGTTATATAAAATAAAGTATTAAGGACATTGAAGATTACAGTGTGATGGATAAAAAAAGTTGTTGGTGTTATGGTTCAAACTGTATTTGATAATTTATATAAATCAAAACTATAATCTTAACAAAGAAATTAATTTTTTGTATATAATAAAAAAAAATTTGAATATTACAACAAAAATTTAACAAATTGTTTTTAAATATTAAATATTTTTTATTTTTTATTTTTTATTTTCTTCTCATAAATTGATTAATTTAAGTATGAAATTATTGTTTGTAATTTTTCTATAAAATAAATTATATTTTTAAATTATTAAATTTTTATTATTTTAATACATAATATTTGTAGTTATAGAATTAAGTCTAAATAAATTTTTTTAAAAAAATATTGTTTAAAAAATTTTATTATTTATATGTAAATTTTAAAAATAAAATATGTGTATATTGCATGAATTATTAAACTAGTTATGACATATTTTATTTTCTTAATGTAAAAAAATAAAGCTTAATAAATTGAATGGATAAAGAAGGAATTACTTAAAAATAATAAGAAAAAAATGATAAAACTTAATTTCAGGCAGCAGAAAAAAAATTAGTATAAGTAATATAAGTAGCGTTTAGAAAAACTCCAGTAATTAACTACCTATTTCAATTAGTTTTACTAAAGAATGTTATTTTTATCAAACAAACTTTTTAGCTTTTAAAATAAATTTTTAACTAATTAAAATATTTTACCAAACAAATTCTTGATAAAAAATAAAATATTAGTTTTTTCCTTTTTTAATATAAATCAACAGTTAAAAAATCTATTTATTATCTCAATCATTTTCCCTTTATTTCACATCCACACAATACCAGATCTATCAATCTTACTAAAATATTAACTTATTAATCATATAAACTTAAAAAAATATTTAGATAAATAAATATAAAATATCAAAATTTGCTTAGAAAGTGCAAATAAACTGTTGAGATTGACAGGAAATACAGTAGCTATAAAGAAATCGGATACAATACAAACATTTATTATCATTTCTTCATTGCCCGTTGGGAGTATATACCTCAAAGTATAAGAATCGAAGATGATTTACTACCCAAAAAGTTTATTTTGAAAACTATTTTTATTTGGAAAACTAAAACTTTAAGGAAATCATTATTTTTATTATATTATTTCTCCAAATAATTTATCATTTTGATTGATACCAGTCTTTAAAATTAATGTTAAATATACAAAATTTTAAAATTTATATTAGAAGTATTTATTGTTTAAAAATATAAAAATTGGTCATTTTCTTTTAAAAAAAATTCTATTTTTAACTTTGATTTTAACAAAACTGATAATTGGTTACTATGATCCCCTGCCCAATGAAATAATTTAGTTTCACATATTTGAGTTTTGATTATGTCATTTTCGTGAGACAATAAAATAATTTATTGTTCCCTCTTCCCACAGCTTTGATGGCCTAAGTATTAATTATATGGAATTCATTTCCAACACTGTTGAGTGTTGAGATGAATTTTATAACACTGTCTAAATAATTTGATAGTACATGACCCCTACATATATCATATATCAATAATGGTATGGAAACAACATTGTACACATTCAAAATTTTATAGTTTTATGTTCTTAATTTATTACATTTTTTTTGGACTTGTGTTTCTTATATTCTGAATATTTGTTGGATAATGTTATGCCCAGACATGCAACCCTTCCCATGGAACACCACGTGTATGCCATATATGAATTAATCATGAATGTCACTCTTGATTTACTAAAAATTAATATTACCATTCATTAATAAACAAAATGATCAAGTATTAAGATAGTTTTTATTATTATATACTTTATCTAATAAAAATTAAATTGATATGAACAAATAATATATTGATAGTTTTTATAATTGATATTTATTTATAAAATACATTTTATACCTACAAAACTTATATTTTAGTTGTTATATCGTTATAACATCATTAATAAAAATTATTATTTATTAAATTACCATTTTATAATAGTGTCATGATAATAAAGAACAAAACATAAAGACTCTAATGTAAGTTTTTTAAACATATAAATTAATTTATAAATAAGTGCTGTTAACGCCAATTTAATCCCTCAAACATCTTTCTCTTGAAATATATACTTCCACTTTAGATGAGGGAACAACTCTTTTTCATGTTGATAATTTCAAAACTCTATAAATTTGAGTAAAAATAAAAAAAGGCATAATCTCTCAAAAACACTATCTCACTGTTGGGAGTATAAGTGAAATTATATTAGGTTAAAATAGAAAAGTTGAGTAAAGTATGAATAAAAAAATTTCATAAGTTAATGCTTTAATCTTTTGGGTTGAATATGTGATGAAAATCTAGTAACACTTATATGATTTGCTCATAGTCTATTAAAGAGATTTCATTCATGTTTTAATCCCCTCTATGTCTAATTGTAGCCCTTCAGTGAATTTTCTTTGTTATAATTTAAATTAGCCTGAATTTTTTTAATATGGTTAGATTTATTATCATTATTTACGATTATTCTTGCAATATTGTTGGTTTTAGTGGGATTTGAGGTAACTTTTGAGTTTTTATTATTGTAGGCAATTTGCAATTTCATGAAGTCAAAGTTGTTATTGAGCAATGGGATAGATCAAAGCAACTCCTTTTGTATTTTTCATAAGGAAACTTTGGACATTATTTTGTGATATCCATTT